AGCTATTGCCCCTGCCCTCTGATGCTGCCAATCAGCAGAAGGGGGACCTGAAGTTCTCCATCAGGTCCCCTTCTAGTGATTGACAGCAGCAGAGGGCGGGTGCAATATGTATGTATTCAAGCAAAAAAATATGTAAAACACACCTCTAGCTATGCATTCCATTTTCCTGGTCCGCAGCTGCAGAGATCGGGAAATGTCTCAGTGCCTGTGATTGGCGCTGTCAGCTTCCTGGCGTGCTCAGCACGTGGAGCTGCGAACACGACCCCTTCCGTGACAGTACTGCCGAGTGTATACCTCATACGTTATATAGCCACACACTTTAAATCCCATTCTTCTAGTTCCAGCTGCAGAGCCCGGTCCTGTCTTTGCCTATAGCAGTGGTTCTCAACCTGTAGGTCGCTGTGCTAGGTGAGAGTCCTCCTCAGCACTCTCCTAGCGCAGCAGTGTCAGTTCTCCTGCCACGCCTCCAGATGTCATGCTGCAGCCACGTCAGCCCTAAATTTTACTGGGGGGGGTGTCACCACAACTTGGCAAATGTTACCAAGGGGTCCCGGCCCTAGAAAGGTTGAGAACCACTGCCCTACTTTATAGTAGAGCCTTGTGTTACTGGAGTTGCTGATGTCCCACATTGCCGCACTTCACAAACAGCTCTTCCCAGGGGTCATTTACTTGAGAGTTTGTAATGTCTAACATGACACTCAGCCGCTGGCTGTCCATGCTTCTGGACTGTGAGCTGTGGGAGGGGCCGGACAGTGTCAAAGTCAGGGTTCTATAATTTTTCGCCACCCATTACATTTTCTCCACTGTGTCACTTCCAGTGGGGTGAGTCATCTGAATCGGCTGTTTTCATGACCCTCTTTCTTCGTGACATGCGCACCTGGAAGTGACGCGGTAGAGTAAGGGTTGAGGAAAGTTAAAGCACACTGGTAGTGGAGGGATGCCTCGTCAGTGCTGTGTGCGTGTACGACTGCTGCAACCCTGGTAGTTCTGCCACTAACTTCAAGCTGTAGAGGGACTACACATCTCAGCACATTATACAGCAATGAGAATAATACCACCAGCTATAGAGGACTATAAATCTAGAAATACATTGTACAGTATTGCAGAATGGCATTGGCTATAGAGAACTACAATTCCCAGCAATACATTACACAGCAATGCAAAATGGCATCAGCTATAGAGGACTATAAATCCCAGCAATAATGACTACCAACAGCTATAGAGAACTACAATTCCCAGCAATACCATTACACAACAATGCAGAATACCATCAGCTATAGAGGACTATAAATCTCAGAAATACACTGTACAACAATAAAGAATGCCAACAGCTATAGAGGACTACAAACCCCAGCAATACATTATACAACAATGCAGAATGGCATCAGCTATAGAGAACTACAGTTTCCAGCAATACCATCAGCTATAGAGGACAATAAATCTCAGAAATACATTGTGCAGCAATAAAGAATGCCAACAGCTATAGAGGACTACAAATCCCAGCAATACATTATACAGAATAATATAAAACTACATACTCTATGTTGCTCTGGGTTTGCCGCCTGATGTCTCCAAAGTCTCAGGAGGTCAGTGTGAGCGCTCAGGTGGGCTGTGCACACTTTCACCAGGGGTTCAGAGAGTTTCACAGGTGTGTGCGGGTGCAGCAGAGGCGGCCCCCTAATTAGGCTCTCAGGTAGCCAGTGGGGCTCCCTGGTGGTTAGTGGGGGCTCTGTGTTGGACCCTGGTGGTTAGTGGGGGCTTCCTGGTCCCCGGTGGTTAGTGGGGGCTCCGTGGTGACCAGTGTGGGCTCTATGGACCCTGGTGGTTAGTGGGGGCTCCCTGGACCCTAGTGTGGGCTCTGTTTTGGCCAGTTGGGGCTCCCTGTTTATTAATGGGACTCTGCTATGGCCGCAGCTGCCAGTTCAGATGTAGCTCTGTAATCGGGCGGCCACTCGCTCCTCAAGGGGGCCTCGGGAGGCCCTCTAACATACCTGATTAGAGGGCCGCGTCTGCCTGATCCAGCCAGCCCGGATGGCTGGCCGGGAGCAGTGGTGCAGGTGGCAGAGAGGCGGTGGAGGGAGGGAGAGGGAGCCACTGCACCGCTGCTTAATTTAGCGTAAAATGACAGAGCGGGGTCAGCGCATGCTGAAGCGCACAGTGCGCAGAAGTCACCAACTGTCTGCAGAGTCAATAGCTACAGACCTCCAAACTTCGTGTGGCCTTCAGATTGGCACAACAACAGTGTGTAGAGAGCTTCATGGAATGGGTTTCCATGGCCGAGCAGCTGCATCCAAGCCTTATATCACCAAATGCAATGCAAATCGTCGGATGCAGTGGTGTAAAGCACGCCGCCACTGGACTCTAGAGAAGTGGAGACGTCTTCTCTGGTGTGATGAATCACGCTTCTCTGTCTGGCAATCCGATGGACGTGTCTGGGTCTGGCGGTTGCCAGGAGAACGGTACTTGCCTGACTGCATTGTGCCAAGTGTAAAGTTTGGTGGAGGGGGGAATTATGGTGTGGGGTTGTTTTTCAGGGGTTGGGGCTTGGGCTTGGCTCCATAGTTCCAGTGAAGGGAACTCTTAAGGCATCAGCATACCAAGACATTATGGACAATTTCATGCCCCCAACTTTGTGGGAACAGTTTGGGGATGGCCCCTTCCTGTTCCAACATGACTGCGCACCAGTGTACAAAACAAAACTTTGTGGGAACAGTTTGGGGATGGCCCCTTCCTGTTCCAACATGACTGCGCACCAGTGTACAAAACAAGGTCCATAAAGACATGGATGAGCGAGTTTGGGGTGGAGGAACTTGACTGGCCCGCACAGAGTCCTGGCTTCAACCCGATAGAACACCTTTGGGATGAATTAGAGCGGAGACTGCGAGCCCGGCCTTCTCCTCCAACATCAGTACCTGACCTCACAAATGCACTTCTGGAAGAATGGTCAAACATTCCCATAGACACACTCCTAAACCTTGTGGACACCTTTCCAGAAGAGTTGAAGCTGTTATAGCTGCAATAGGTGGGCCAGCTCAATATTGAACCTTACGGACTAAGACTGGGATGCCATTAAAGTTCATGTGAGTGTAAAGGGAGGCGTCCCAATACTTTTGGCAATATAGTGTATATTTGCACACTTAAGAGTAAAGAATAAAGGAAAGTACTGCTCACCTGTCCTGTTCAGTTGTCTGATGATAAGGACTCCCTGGTGTGAAGAAGCCTTAGGTCATGCCTACAAAGTGGACAGGTCATGCTGGAACGCAGCCACTCATCAATGCAGGTCCGATGGAAGATGTGGCTGCATGGGAGACGTCTGCAGGAAGAAAGAAACAGAAAAGATCAGAGCCCAGACTGACAGCGGTTATATGTTATAATGCAATGAAACATTAGAAGATATAAACCTTATTTCTTATGAGTAGATGGAGAAAACAAGCAATATTACCTGACTTCCTCGCCGTCCTCCATATTGGAGAGACAGATGGGGCACTCCTCCATGAAGGACTCTGCGTTGTTCAGCTTCCTCTGTAGACAGATTATAATGGAATAATAATAGCAAACTAGATGAAGAAATCTGACACATACAGATATTATTTATCCCCAATATTTCATATTTTAGGTGTCAATGTCTGAATATGTTTCAGTTAAAGTGCATGTCCAGCAAAAATGTTTGTCTCAGTTTTGGATAGAGTTTGGAAGGGTTAAAACCCCTGCCAGGTTTTAGGTCACATCTGCGGTTCCATGAGATGTTGGATGCGGACAATGTTTTACTAGACAGGAGGTGAGCATAACTCACCCAACAGCAACACAAATGTTGGTATTTAAATGCAGATTTCCCCCATTTCCTGTCTAACAAACCATTGGCAGCAGAACAGGAAGTGAGGGGACATCTCTCTAACAGACCCCTGGATAGCAGTAAATACACAACAGATGCTATAATCCTTCCCCAAATCTAAAACTAGAAAAAACGATTTTGGCTTTACATACACTTTAGACATGGCTATTGGCTCTATTTATAAAGATCAGATAAATTATTGCTTTTAGTGAAACACATCACTCAGTTTAAAGAAAATGACCTCCCTCAATATAACCATTTGACCTGGGAAGATGATGTCATAGTGAAGTGCTAGAGCTAGTATAGCTGGACGTGCGGAGATGGAAAATTTCAGCAGCAGCCAATCAGCTTGTGCGTATAAGTCCATAGAGTTATTACGTGTGAGCCGATTGGTTAAAAATGAAGTCTTTCATGTGGCTGCGCTCTGCTCCGCGCCTCACTGCTTTGCTTTGCTCCGCTTGTTGCGTGTCACAGGCTTAAAGCAGCACAACAGTGTGAACGGGGCCTATAACTCCCAGCACGCTGTCACCATGACATACTGTTCCTCTTCTGAGGGTGCCCAGGTCTGCTCAGACTCACATGAAGAAGATTGAAGGCACGGTTGGCCAGGTTCACACTTTTCTGCTGCACATTAACATGCGCTGCTTTAACAACCCATTGCGAGTGGCCTGGCAATGCATGCCAACTTCCAGGAGAATGGACCTGCAGTGTTCATGCCAGCCCATGTTAGTTGGGGTGTCATTCAGAATACACGGCACTGCATTACACCAAGGCATGACATGTGTGTTGCAGTTACACATGTGTGTGCCCACAACACAATAGAGTTTTCTTTATTTCTACACAGGTCAGTGCAGCCCGAGCACATCATCATCACCACTTCAGGAGGTAAGGTCAGCGGAGACACTTTTCTCATGACAGGTCTCCTTTATTAGTATACATTAGTTCTCTCATAACACACACTTGGAAAAAGGCGGGCTCAAGACTCACCGCGGAGTCACATGTAGCGTAGAAGCCCTGAAAACCCTGAGTGTGATTGGCTGCTGGAAGCGTAGAAGGCGGGCGCTGTCCCCTGTCTCTGTAAAAGAGGCGGGCTGGGGAGTCGCAATGCGGCGACGTGTACTCTAGAAGTCCCGGAGCCGGGATTGGTTGCTGGAGACGGAGAAGGCGGGCACTGTCTGGTGTGAGCACGGATTGTTCCCTTTGCAGCCTGTCACTGCACAGCACTGCTCTCACGGCTGCCATGGCGTCTGTCATACGGTTGCTGGAATTGGTCTTCTTCTTCTACTTCTTCTCCCACATCCCCATCACTCTACTGGTGGATCTGCAGGCCGTCCTTCCGTCCAGCTGGTACCCGGAGCAGGTCAGTATACAGCCCACAGGGTGGTGACAGCTGGCGAGCGGTAACATCACCTCGGTGCTGGAAAAATACCGATATCATTGTCTGTGTGCTCACTGGACACATTTACTGTTCTTATCAGCCTCTGATCAGCACAGAGAACACATCTATAGAGCTGGGGGGTCAGTGTTTGTGCTGTCAGAGGTATACATAGGGGGGATTGATTAAAACTGGAGCAGCTGTGCATGGCAACCAATCAGCTTCTCAGTTCAGCTAAGATTTGAAAATAAAAGAAGCTGATTGGTTGCCATGCACATCTGCTCCAGTTTTGATAAATTCCCTTTATTATGCACTAAGGCTGCCCATACACCTTGCGATCATTGGACAAAACTTTTCGTACGGCGGCCCCATCCTGCCCCGATTATCGCAAGGTTGGATCTGCAGTAATTAACGGAAAGCACCACGAATTGCGGTAATCGTATTTTCGTCTGCGCATGTGCAGTGTAGCTCGTACGAATTTTAACATACGGAAACGCCACCAAAAATCGTACGATCGACCGAAGTTTTCTAACCTGCTGGTTAGTCAAAAGTCGATCGGTTGTACAGTATTTTGGGGGGGATAGCGGATTGTGACCATATTTCATGTTACACCCTAAAACATGCTCTGAAACGTAGAATTAGCCTTTAACCCCTCCACTGCCAGAGCCGTTTGGGGTAAAATGCACCCTGTAGAATAAAATGGCGGCAGTTGCAATTCTTTTATGTGACCTGATATGAGCACGAATGTTTATGAATCCCAGATTTTCAGTACATACCGTAAATACACTTTTATGTGCACATAAACACAATGTACTAGCCAAATTTTTTGGTAAGATCTAAAGGAGAAGGTTGCGCCGAGTAAATGGATATCAAACACGTCAAGCTCCAAAATTGTGAAAATGTGCTCTGTTAGACCCCTAATGTCACCCTTGCAGCCCATTGAAGCAGGTCAGATCTCAGAATGACAGCTGACAACCCGGAAGTGACGGAATCCTCTTCGCTTCCGGGTTCGTTCATCAAACAGATGTCAACTGGTCTCTGTCCACAAACACCCGCAGTGCCGGTCCTGGCCACGCAGGAGGGGCAGTGGAGCATGGGAAACATGGCAGGGAATGTTGAGTGGGGGGAGGGGAGTGGCCATGTTTCATAGCCCGTGGAAGTGATCCACCCAAATCATTTCCAGTGTAAAGCTGAAGTTGGCTCTACACCTGTAAACGGACTGCTGGCTGCTACAGTCAGCGCACAGGCGCCCTCTGCCGCTGACGTATGGCATATGTTGGCAGTGAAAGCGTTAAGGCGCCATTTGTACGGTCTGCCTAATGCACCAGGAAAGGCGCATGTACTATTTTTTTGTAACGCAGCACACCACAATGCAGGATATTGCTGAACTGTGTGTTAGGGTGCAGCACACATCCATTGACAAGCTGTGTTGGGGGACCACTGAGAATCAATGGCAGTGCAGCAGCAGAGTGTGAATCCAGCCTAACACGCGTTCTTCATGTGTTAATGCCGCCTTTCAATGAGTCCTTCACTGCTTGCGGACTGACCACGGTATTAAAATGGCCGATCTGCTGACTCATTGTTCCGGAGGGCGTACCTTTATGTCCTCCCGTGACCGCATGTGCACGTGCGCTGATCCCGCTGTCATTAGGCAGCAGAGAACATCAGACCGGCGGCTCTATGTCCCTTGAGCGCTGTGAGTTGCTATCACAGTGATCACATGACAATATTTACATTGCCAAGCCCTCCCCTTCCTCTTACATCAGCAGCAGGGGAGAGTAAAACCAGTGATGAGTAGACGAGTCATCCATTCATTGCTTCCTACAGTAAACACAAGCTGCAGCAGCAAAACGTAAGATAACATGTCTGCCCCCCCCCCGATATAGGTCAGCTTCATTCCATCTCTACTCTGTGTGTGTATTAACCCCTTTATCTCCCTTATCCTGCACAACTGTACATTAACCCCTTCATCTCCATCCTCCCACTGTACGTGGCCTGTACTTTAACCCCTTCACCTCCGCCTCCCTCTATCTATGACCTGCTGTACATTTGTTGTTTCTTGTCCTGTGCACTATTACTAAGCTCCATGTTTTAACCCCCTCAGTACCGGCTTGTTTCTTCATTTCCCCCAAAAATTTCTACTTTCTAAAAACGGGTCATTTGAAGGATTTCCATACTGTTCTGACATTTTTATTTGCTATGACTTATAAACGAAAGGCTTTTTTATCATTTGTTTTTTTAACTTCATATAGTAAAAAAAATAATAATGTAAAAGCGGTTATTAAATACCACTAAAAGGAAGTCTATTTGTCCCCCAAAAATGATATGAAATGAGTATTGTTACAGTGTTGTGTGCCGGAGGAATTCTCAGCCAAACCTGCACAGCGCTGAAAAATGGTCCGGTAATGAAGTGGGTGTAACATGCCGGTACTGAAGAGGTTAATGTGTGTCAAAGCTCAAAAAAGAGACCTGCACTACATTTTGATTGCTTGACACTAGATCTATGTGTATTGGGCTGACATTCAGAATAAATGGCAACACTCATATACAGCGCATAGCATCGCATTTCTGTAATGTGCGTTTACACGCCCTACTACCTACTACGCATGCAAAGGTCTGAATTCAATCTAACCATCACGCTGAGGTACTTGTGTTCAAGCACTGGTTATCAGGATGTGAAGGTGAACAGCTTGTCACAGTTGAGGTGAGATTGCTGCATGTAACTTCAATAAATACTCCCGAGCATGTGCCACTGACCTGACTGACTGGCGATGTGCCACTGACCTGACTGACTGGCGATGTGCCACTGACCTGACTGACTGGCGATGTGCCACTGACCTGACTGACTGGCGATGTCCCACTGACCTGACTGACTGGCGATGTGCCACTGACCTGACTGACTGGCGATGTGCCACTGACCTGACTGACTGGCGATGTCCCACTGACCTGACTGACTGGCGATGTGCCACTGACCTGCCAGCGTAGACCCGGCAGATTTACTTTCAAAGTTTGCTGTGGATAATCTCTTGTTCACAGTCCATGTTTGTATAAAGCTTTGCTCAGTCAAGTTGACCTTTTCTAGCACTTTAGGGATTATGCACACAGGTCACTGAACATGTACAACGTTTGGATGTCCCCCGCCAGGGAGCCACATGTACTTCATACAGCATACAATAGAAATCAATAGGTGTATGTGGCTGTATGCTGGTATATGCCGCACTTGCTTAAAACACATGCATGCGTGCTCACAACTAGAGCTGCAACAGTTAATCGATTTAGTCGATTAAAATCGACGATTGAAAACGTTACCAACGTTTTCGATCGTCGATTCGTCGGCTATAACCCCACATGTAGACAGTCTGCTTTCACTGTTGTGCACCTATACCCAACACATGCACACGTCTGGCTTATACCAGCATACTGTATGTCCATTGACTTCTATGGTAGGCTGTAGGGAACATACAAAGGAATTGACGTTGTACTCGCTCAGTCTCTTGTGTGCATGAGACCTTTAATATGAATGATTTGTGATCAAAGAATAAATGTGTTCTGCTCCTAGTGTTACCCAGAATGATAAATGATGTTCCTTTGCATTTGTCTACAGTTGCTGGACTTGATGGACTGGTACGTTGTCGCCTTTAAGGATCATCTGATGATGAACCCTCCACCCTGGTTTATGAGCTTTGTGTATTGTGAAGCCATCGTGCAGCTTCCTTTCTTCCCGGTGGCTAGCTATGCTTTTTTAAAAGGTGGGTATTCTATGCAGATGTTGTTTCATGCCACGCGTGTAGCAGGAAAATAATGACGGTCATATAAAGGAAATTATTCTGACGCCTTCAGTGGTGGAATTCATAGGTACCAGTGATGGTATTGCTGGGATCCCCAGGGAGGTTTTCTGTTCTCATTGGAGGCCGTGCTGCACACAGCTGGGGTATAGGATTGGATTAGAGTGTGTGGCAATTAAGGTGCCCATACACCTGCCGATTATCGTACGATAATTGGCAGGTGTATGGGCAGCGTGCGACCGCTTCTACTGTAAAGTCGCACGACACTCGCCTTCCGAGCACTCTGGAAAACCTGCTGAAAATCTTACGATTTTTGGCGGGTTGGTGGCGTGGTCGGTAGACGAATTGCACACGGGTCGGTGTGCGCAAGCGCTCACTGCCCGCTCAGCACTGCAATCATCATAAGCCCTCCCCTCAGCGGGGCGGGCTTGCAATGATCGCAAGTACGGTCTGCCTATCCAAGATGGGCATATCGTACGAAATTTTAATGACCTTACAACCATGGCACAACGAAAGTCGTGCGATGGTTGTAAGGTGTATGGCCAGCTTTACAATGGCTGTGGGAAGGCTTCAGTAGAAACAGATTGAAGAAAACTGGACATGTGTAGCTGCTGGAAATTGTACTACCCGGACTGGACAACAAATCCCAGGAACCAGTAGGCCTGTGCCCCAAAAATGACAATTGGTCTCTTTGGGGGTATTGCAGTTTTGTCAGTGTATCATAGAGAAGACCAGCCTTCCTCAACCAGCGTGCCTTCTGGCCTTGTCAGCAGTGTCTTCAAATATTCATTCAAGGGGGGAGGACTCTGATGTGAAAACAGGGGGCTATTGTGTGAAGGAGAACACATCACCTGTTTTTTTTTTGCCAGGAGTACCCCATAAAAATCCATACAGACCCGTGACTAGGACAAGCGTTTTTGATTTTTGATATTGATTTTGGAGGAAGGGGGTCTCGTGACCTTTTTTTACATTTTAGACTGGGGTGCCTCGAGGGTTCCAATTGTTATAGGACCCCCGCGCTGCAAGAGTTAACTGCTTGTTTTTGCCTAGGGTAAAATAAAAGTTATACCCACCCGATCGTCTGAGCTTAGACACTAGAGTGCGTTTCCCCCTCCTCTAAGAGTGCGTTTCCCCCTCCTCTACAGTGGGTTAGGAATCCTCGAGTCATCGCATCCAATACAGCGCCTAGGACGTGAAGATGCCTCGGGACATACCATAGCTGCAGTGAAGGAGAAGAGAGGCTGGAGGGGGCTCTGAGGATCAGGTGAGTATAACGTTTGCTATATTAGAGAGAATGTAAACTACAAACATGATACACCTTTTAAGAGCAGCGCTTAGACCCTACTAAGTATGGAAGTATTCTTGTATGTTCTGAACTTTCTGTGGGGGGACATACATGTTCAGGTCTGTTGTAGTCCTTGAACAGTGGATCACTACCAAGTATGTTAGCAGTCAAGGCCATTGAAATGAATGTGTAAGAGTGCCAGTCCCCCTGCCACCACCTCCAGGGTTCAGAAGAGCCACACCAGGGTCTCTTAAGAGAACAGCGTTGCAGCCTTTCTGATGTACTATTTGTAACACAGTAACAGGAAAGCAGTGTTTCATCTTCCAGTGGTACACTAAGTGATCACTGTACATCGATCTCTGTCGTTTCCTCATGGACCATTATCAGTCTTTGACCTGACCTGAGTAAAGGTTGTATATAAATCAGTGTGTGCTACTTATCTCATATTGTAGGTGGTTGCCGCTGGATCAGAATTCCTGCCATCGTCTATTCGTCCCATGTCGCCACCACAGTACTGCCCATCCTCGCACAGCTTCTCTTTGGCGATTTCCCGAAAACAAACGAGGTGGATTCTCCAACACAACAGGAGCGCCTTACTCTAGTGGCCATATATGCTCCCTACCTGGTGATCCCATTACTCATTCTGGTCACCATGCTGTTCAGTCCCACATACTGTAAAGAGGAGAAGCGGAAAAGGAAGTAACATGGCAGGGTCAAAGACTTCTTTCTACATAATCATGGCCTGTGACTACATCCAGTGTCAGGAACAACAAGCAGTGCTTACTGCAGTACGCAATAAGAAGATACTCACTGGAAAAAGAAATCTCTTTTAATTTTGTCTTTTCTAGGATTTCTCTCTATCTGGGAGGACAGACCAATAATAAATATACTGTGTGCCGAAAATAGAAACAAATCAAGATGCCATGTATAAGAAATGCTGGTAATAGCGCACAGAGCATTGTTTTCATTCCCAGCTGTTTGCAGACAAGTATTATTATAATGTGACCCATCGTTCCTGTGATTGGAACATCTCAAATAAGGACAAGTCATAACCCATTGAAGGATAAAGTATTGTTGCCTGTGACAACCACATCCTGCCTTTTAGACCCCTTACATCAGAGGGCGCACTCCACTGAAGGGAAGACTAGTGTGTTGAGGGGGAAGGATTATGAGGCTTCCCATCCTTATTGTTTTGTCATTACCACCTCCTGACAGATTAACCGCACTTCCTCAACCCATTCCTGAGGCTAAAACACCAACTGCAGATCATGTCTGCTTGTCCTCAGTGCACCTGCTGATATAGTAATCTTATTACAACCACGGGTCTCTCCCTCTAAAACTTCATAAGCCATTGAAAGAAAAAAATGACAGAATTTGCTGCAATACTTACCGCCGGGACGGATCCCGACATTACTGTCAAGATCCACCCAGCTGCGTGACTGACAGCTGGCTCTGCCTATCTAGAGGCAGAGCCAGCTGTACCCTCCCCTGTCCGTTCCTCCAGTCAGGGGACAGTCACGGGACACTCTCTACAGGGACGTTATGTGTTCGCTCACTTCCCGATCTGTTGAGCCGACCTGTGACACTTTTATTGTCACATAATTCTCCTTTAACCCTTGCAATGTAGGGGTAACTCCACTGCAGGGGTTAATACATTGTCTCTTCTTTAAATGCACATATAATCTTATGGGAAGATTGCTGTTGCAATGATTGGTCTTACGCCTGGACCTCTGGTGATACAAGATCTGTACAGTGCAGAAACGCCTCCATTTGTGAAGTGGAAAGTGTTTAACAAGCTAGTCTAGCGTTTTCCTTACAGGTGTTGAGATTGGTCTGTTCTCTCTTCCTTTACTGTACTGCTGTGAAATGTTCCTCAGTACTGTTCTAATCATCATCGCCTCTTTCATATGATTCACTCAATAAATCTATTTTTCAAGAACTAACAGTTGTAATCCTTGATGAGTTACACGGTGACACTGTACAAAGGAGTGTGTTACATCCAGACACCGCACAAAGGAAAGCAATGACGTGATTGCAGAAAGCTCGTCACAGATTGGGAACAATACAGACTTTTTTTAGGCTTTTTCGCAAGCAATATGAACACATTCTAATGCATTTATTTCCAGCATGTTTCCAGTCCTTGGCAAAGGAACAAGCTTTGGACCCTTGCATGTTATTTCAAGGCAAAAACGTTTAGATGGACTGAAGGGTTAGAAGCTCTGGAAGGGTTTTTATTGCCATTTAGGTCACCTTTGTTAGAATCAGCCTCTCCAAATGTCACTGGGAATGAAAGTAAGAGAATATCTAAGATTTGAGTTGCCACCAGAACAGGAATAGTGGGGATATCTTCTAATGAGGACACTTGTGGTGACAACTGTCTACAAGAGGATTTCCCTCATATTTCCTGTTGAGTCTGTAGGACAGGAACTGAAGAGAAGTCTCCCTAATGAGACACTGATAACCCCCAAAAAAAGAAAAACCTGCTTTTGATCATCCTTAAGCCAACCTTTATCAACCAGGGTGCTATGGCATCCTGGGGTACCTTTTGGCTTCCCACGGGGTCCTTAAAATGTTCACACAATGTCATGCCTTCCGTTGTTGCATGTGGGCTCGGCTCACATGATGAAGGTTCAGTGATGCTGGGTAGGGATGCACCGATACAGAGTATTTGGGCGAGTACTCGTACTCACCCAAAGGCTTCCAATGCCTAGCCCGATACCCAAACTTTTGGTATCCAGAAGCCTGGCGGCGGGTCTTTACACACTGCCCGGCTTTCTAATTGGCCAGGAAGCCGTCTCCATGCTCCCTCATCACCAGGGAGCATGGAGCTGGCTTCCTGATTGGCTGGGAAGCCAGCTCCATGCTCCCTTGTCACAAGAGAGCATGGAGCGGCTTGCCAGGCAGCGTGTAATGACTCAGCGACCAATCAGGAAGCCAGTGCGGCAAGTCATTGCCCACCCCCCAGCTTCCTGATTAGCCAGAAAGCCAACCCCATGCTTCCTTGTCACCTGGTGATGAGTGAGCAAGGAGACTGCTAATCGGGAAGCCGGGTGGCGAGTCATTACATGCCACCTGGCTTCCTAATGGGACTTTCGGTATTGGCGAGTACCGGGGAAAAAAAATATTGGTACTCGATACCGAAAAAAACAGTATCCGTGCATCCCTAATGCTGGGTGTCATTCAACCCTGAAAAGGTCCGGAGTGGGAGCCAGCCCCACAGAGTGGAAGCTGCCTTTTTTGTTCTTGCAGCTTTATTTTTACATTTTAGTTGGAGTTGAGCTTTAAACCAAACAAAAAAAAACAAAACACATTAGCCAAAGTAAAATTTCCGATTTTTTAATTGATGCGCTTTTAAAAAATCCATGCAAATAAAATCCATAAGGCACTCAATTATAAAATGCAGATGAATAGAATCGGGGTATAAATATTGTTATGCAGTCATTGGAGTGACTTTGTTTAGATGGTACTGTAGCTGACCCCACACACACACACACACACACACACACACACACACACATGTATAAGCTGTATGTATGGGAGCGGATAATACTCGAGTGTTAGAGAAATAGCAGATCAAATCTTCACCATCTCCATAGTATGGAATATGGACCATAAATAGCAAATACAACACCAAGCTGTTCATACCGATGTTAATGAATAATGAAATGTATAGATTACTAGGACAGCTATGACAATAAGCAGACAACAAACTGAAGATAATGTCACTCACCATGACCCGGCTACGGTACAAGGCTATTCTATGATAACAGCGAGGACAGCAGTAGTGGCCAATAGTCTTGCACGTATCTATGTCAGTGGGAATGTCATCAGTTTGGGCCTGAAGTGTATATAAATGCCAACAATGAACTACCCTTCAGTATAGAGATGCAGAGAGCTATCACTGCTCCATCCAATGCTGATGGACATCTCTTTTTTTGCTCCCATGTCCCGTGTGGTCTCCTAAATATACCATTGAAAGTGTTTTGTTATATTTTAGGGATGTACCGATACTAGTACTCGCCCAAAAGCCGGGCGCTGAGTGACACTTGGTGACGAGGGAGCATGGAGCCGGCTTCCCGGCCAATCAGGAAGCCTGATTGGTCCCTGTAGGACAGGTAAGGATAGTCTGGGTAGGTTTGGTGCCTTTGGGTGGTGCTACTACTTACTATAAGAAAAGAAAAAGACGAACTTTAACTGTAGATAAACTTCCTAAAAGTTTTTGAAACCTCTTTACGTCTCTGAAACGTTCCATTATTATTTTGGGTATGAAATGTCTGATATTTAGAAGCAGCAGATACATATAATAAAAGAAGAAAGTCAGAATGACACCGATATACCTCCCCTACCTTCCATGTATTTACATCACAGCTCATCAATTAGAAAACAAAGTCCGACACACTAAGATGTATGGAAATACTTCCTATGGATAACACCACCAAACACAGTAACTCCCAACACCAATCAGATGGCAGATCAGTCAAAGCTGCATTCAGATTGATTGCTGTGGGTAATGTTGCATTATTTAATAATATTTGTATAAACAGATTTTGTAAAACAATTCTGGGCTTAAAGAAGACCACCGGGCAAAATGTATTAACCCTTGAAGTGGGGCTGCCCCTGAACTGCGACTTAGAACTGCTTGTTTTGCTCTAGGGAGGAAAATTAAAAATTTTATACTCACCCAATTCCCCAAGCTGGCTTGCTTTTAGACCGCTCCCTGGACCCTCTGTCCCCCTCCGCTGCAGTAGTCTCAGGATCCTCGAGTCACCATGTTCTACACAGTGTATAGGACGCCGAGGGACATACCATCTCTGGAGCAGAGGAGACAGACTGGAGGGAGCGCTGTCACGGAATATCGGGCGACTATAACTTTATTTTCCTCCCTAGACAAAAAACAAGCAGTTAACCCTTACAGTGCGGGGGGGGGGGGGGGGCGGGTATTCCCACTGCAAGGGTTAATAACTGCACAGAGCTAAGCTAGCCATACACAGCTCGAATTTCTGCTGAATGGCTACAATTCAGCCGTCAGTGGCCTGTCGGCACCATCTGGCTTGACTCAACATAATTTAAAAATCAACCGAGTCAGGAAGAAAATTGGCTGCTAAGTGACTGCACGCTACGCTATCAGATGCAGTCACTCTTCGGGTATTTAGACATCCACGGGTACTACGGCTGTCTGAATACAACAGCCAGCACTGAAGATTCCTCCTCCATGCTGTTTGATGTGGATGGGGGAATCAAGTGATTTTCTCTGGTTCACTCCGCGGTCTAACAAGGGAAAATCGTGTATACGTGTATGGCTAGCTTGGGGATTGGTTGGATGTTTCGTCATCTGCCCTAAGGTGCACAAGCATTCTGTACCAATGGTATCAGTAGACCTCCTGCTGTGCGTTTCTTTTTAATCCTACTTGGTGCAGGTTAGGTGTGGTTCCCAGTATATGCCCTTGGAGGCCGTACTGTGTGTACATCACAATGCTCCAGGCTCTACACACAATGTAGGAAGAAACCGCATACAGAAAATGCATGTTAAAATGGATAACCTGCCCACCTAATAGTTCACCACACCGGTATGAATGTGCCCTAAAAAGATGGAGGCCAACACTTGTTACATTCACGTCTCTGCATAGCAGGTGCGGTGCGTGTTGTTGAAGCAGCGGTGTCCCTAGACTCTTCCCCCCCTGAGGTGGGGAGCGATGCCGGTTCACGTTAAGGCCCCATTCACACTGAGCGACATGAAAATCGCGCGATTGAGCGACTTGTCGCGCAACTTTTTCCTATTGGGCTGTATGCAATCAGAAGCAATATCGCTCGAAAAAAGGGTCGTGTAGGAGCGACGAGCTACAAGCGATATTGAGCGACGAGATGTGAACAGCTCCATTGAAATGGATTGGAGAAGCTACATAGAGCGATATCGCTGCAAAAATCGCTCGATAAATCGCTCAGTGTGAACGGGGCCTAAGGTCCGGGAGTCCACCCGGCTCACTGACGTCACTGGCTGCCAATGCTGGGTGGGACCCCGGCCAGAGATCACACCAGCTGCAATCTGGAACATTCTCCCCCCATGTGACGCAATGAGATGCAACCTCAGGCCTTATGAAGATGCGTTTTCATAGAAATTGCACCAAAAATGTAACGTTTGTATTTTCCACATACCGCCCCACAATGCAGAGACAGGAATTCACCCTACAGCAGGGTCTGTCATATGGACGGGTATCTTAAAATGTACAAAGTGGCCATGACAAGTGTGTGAAAGTCCCGGGAATAGGATAATAACGTCTCATGAATCAGGAACTCCGGGTCCCAGGCGGGTGAGAGAAATGGGAATGATGAAAGTTTTCTAACAAATGTTCCATGAAAATTGCCAAGCGGGTCTTTAGAAGTCTCTCATTTCTGCAGGATGAACTGGTCAATAAATTCGTTCTGCTCGGCTTCTACTTTACACAGAGCTTCGTATTCTACCCGGTACCTGGAGGAAACAATACAGAGTGCTTAAAGCGCAGAAGAATCCTCCAACATTTACAATGTTGTGTGTTTAATACATAAATGGATCTCTATTCTACCCACCACCTAACATGGATCCTTTTCCTGGTCAATACTCAGACAGAACCAACCCCCAAATACTCAGCTTCCCAATAATCCCTGCCACTCCTTCCTATACTGCACCCAGCAAAGCTATCCGATGCGTACATGAATGGGAGAGCATGTGACCTCCTCTGTGACTGCTCGGGCCTAGCAGCCAATCACTAAGCCCAAGCATTGTCACATGACCAAGTGACATCACAGCTCCCCCTGGTCATTCACGCAGCTGATTTCAGTGCCAGTGCAAAGGAGGAAGTAGTGGCGAGGGAGTGCAGGTAGCGTGATTACAAGGGGGTCTGGAGGCCCCTTTGCAGAGACTCTGTCAATGAGCCCTGCGTGGGCAATGTGACAGGGTCTCTTTAGGTATAGCGTTAGGACTAAGGCTACTAAGTCTTAATGATTTTGTGATCAACAGCAAAACAAATAAAAAACAAACATTCCAACTATAAAAATAAGACTTTTCTGTATGTCGGTAAAGAACTGTTAGAGAGATAATAATATGTCCCATCTTAGTCCTGGTTCACACCTAGGCGTATTGCATATGCGTGGTTGTCACGCGTTTTTTTTACCGCGATTCGCGGTAAAAAAAATCGCGCGACACGCGCGTTTCCGAGGGCTACTTGGCTGTATCCCAATGGAAACGCGCTACAAAACGGCCCAAAGTAGTACCTGTACCTTTTCAGGCGCTGGCCGTTTTGTAGCGCGTTAGGGACGGGCGAAAATACGCCAAGGTGGGAACGAGACCATTGACTACAATGGGATTTATATTTTTGAGCGTTTTGTAGAGCGTTCGTCGAGCGTAGAACGCGCTACAAAACGTTCAGGTGTGAACGAGGCCTTAAATGACATTGTACATGGCCCATGGAATCGGGGGAAGGGAAATCTGTCCCAGCACCTTTACAGCTACAAACACCTGTGACAGAAGCGGCCATTTCTTGACTTATGTGCCACATGCTAGTTCAGGGCAATGAAGCTGAAAGTATTCCCCGAATAACTGGGAGTCTGCAGCACACCAGTTGGGCAATGGTTACTTCCATCAGAGCCTAAATCACACAGGTTGTTGTTAGCCTGTTACGCACTGTAGGGCCCTTTCACATGGGGCTGCGTCTGGGGATTGCTGTGGCAAGAAACCATCCAATCCCAGGTGTGTCTGTACAGATGACGGCTGCGGTTCCCATTCAAGTTAGAGACAGATCGACAGCGGCCGCCCGCATGTAATCGTATAATAGATTGTCACCGGGGACAATCATCTATCCCGAACCATTCCATGTATGATTACATGCAGCCGCTGTCAGCCCGTCATTAACTCAGCGGCCACATATTTACAGACACACTTGGGATTCCCGTCGCAATAATCTGAAGGTTCTTGCTGCAGGAATCCCCAGCCACAGTGTGTGAATGTAGCCGGCCTCTAGTCCCCACAGCCTTATATGTAGGCAGGTTATGCCTGTTCCAGTACATGTAATAACCTTACACTTACCTTCATGTCTTACAAATCTGTTAATGTGTTTGCTTAGTTCATAGAAACACCATCATTTCCCTCGCTTCCAATCACCAAACAGCCCTTAGAAAGTTCTTTCTAGATGCAGATATAATACTAGGTCAGCATTTACCACAAGGTTATCTCATGGTTCCCTCATCTGTCCTTTGAGCTTTACTTTAGAGCAAAGGCTATGGAGGCTGACCAGGAAAGTATAGCAGCAGTGCACAGTACACGAGTGCTGAGGCGCCACACCAGAACACTCCGATGGCCCTTACTAATAGTAATGTTAGTGTTTGATATCCTGGAACAAGATTTATGCTAATGGCAGGGCCCTCCGTACCATCTGGTCTTGCATTGTACTGTGATTGTAATGTCCTCCTTATATTGTAAAGCTCTGCGCAAACTGTATAATAATAATTACAATCACACGCAAATCTATACAGTTGTTGAGAGGAATGCAACATAACAAAATTACTCTCAAAACTGGTACCCTTTAATCTAGTTGTTCTCACCCTGTGTAACCTCAGGACCCACATTTGTCCTTGGCCATTAAGTTGCGACCCGAGTCGCACTGCAATGCGGTACCGCGCGTTCCGGTTCAGGCAATTGAACTGTGGGCGGGAGGTGTGTTTGGGGTGCCGTTCAAATGAAGGGCAGCGCAATGCACCTCCTGCACCTGAATGCATAGTGGGTGCGACTGCGTGGTACAGTGCAATAATGGTACCGGACTGTTTGATTAAAGGAGAACTATGCGGTCACGGCTTTTCCCCATAGTTCTCCACACAAACTAGCGTCCTGCCGTGACCCAAAGCTCAGTATACTGCGAGCTACAGCTCGCGGTATACTGAGACGCCGCAGCCAGGATGGATCCCGACATTACTGTCTGGATCCACCCAGCTGCGTGATTGACAGCTGGCTCTGCCTATCTAGAGGCAGAGCCAGCTGTACCCGCCCCCTCCCCCGTCCGTTCCACCAGTCAGCGCTGGAGGATCGTTTCTAGGGGGGAGTTTGGGGTCCAATTTTAAAAGGTTTTTAAAATGATTTCAATTTTGGTAGCCCTAGGAGAAACTGGCCAACTGCGCCCAGAGGTTAAAGAGCCGGATTTACTGAAGAGCAAAGTGCACCTCGCTTCACATGTAAGTGTACATATTAACCACTTAAGGACCATAGGAGGTACCTGTACAACCTGTAATTGGTTATACCAGGAACAGAGCTGCCTCTGTAACTGTGATCTTGGTATCATTTTTTAGAGCATGTGAAGGGCTTTTGTGTCCAAGTGATCTGAATGGCACTTGTACAGGCCTCTAAAGGTGCTGCCTTGTGCTTTCAGTGCTTCCTGCTTCAAAGCCGTCAGAAGCCTGGCTGAAACAATGGCTAAACAGGTGATCGGCTGCAGTGGAGTATCAATAATGTCTCCATAAAGAAAACCGGTCACCGGCCAATGCTATCACATAGGGGCTTCTTAGGGTAAGGCCCTACTGAGGACTGAACACAAGACTTTAGCACTTAAAGTAGAATTAAACCTTTGGGGGTTTTTTTTGCATAGATCTACTGCTAGCAAGCAAAAAGTCACCAAAAAGGTTATTACTTACCTGCGTCTCCGCCGCTCACTCCCGTCCGAAGATCTGAAAAATTCTCGGCCGCAAAGGATCATGGGATGGGCGCATGCGCAGTAGAGATCTTCGTCCGGGAGAAGAGGAGAGGCACAGGGTAAGTCAATGCAGGCAGCCGGGCAGCGTGCACCCGCACAGACTCCATGGGACAGGAAGAAACAGCAGTCAGCGCTGGATCAGAGATCGGCAGCAGCGCTGGAGGGACTCCTGAAAACATCAGGAAAGAAGAAGATGATCGGACCAAGAGGCATCATTTAAAGGGAAGTCCTTACAGCAGCATTGGGGGGGATTTTTTTTACTTTAATGTCACTTTAAGAGCCAACCAACTTCGCCACCATATTATTATGTTTTTGGAACTGGGCTGCAAGATATCCTCTCCATAATGAAAATGTTCAGCCCCTATGAAAGAAGCCATTATGTGGATCTTAGAATCTTACATTGGACTTTTTATTAATTCAGTTATTGTCGTAGAAAAGTTTCAGTTGGCTTTGAAATGACATATTTACTCTGGAAGATCAGCCATCGACATATTCGGCAGACAGAAGAAGATGGAAGGCAATTCCACCAGTATTCATCCACCCATAACCGACCTATATCAGTTGTAGAGGACGGTACTGTTGCCCTGCAAAATCCTATATCCCGATCGCCAGCCACATGTCATAATGGTGTACACCCCACATTTAGAATACACAGGTACAGCAGTACTGGCGACATAAAGGCTGATATCCCACCTTTCTAATTGCATCTTCTTTTCTGCTATTAACGCGTGCAGTTGCTGTTGCTGTGCTTCTCGTTGTTTCGTGATGGATTTCAACAGATTGCGAGCACCAATAGCCTAAAGAAACAAAAAGATAGGATTCTATTCTGTGTCAAAACATATATATCACACCAATGACATTACAGCTGAGCATGGGGCAAACAGCTAAATACAATATTGAAATACATACACGAGAGCAGTTTTACATGCCACATGTTTGTATTCCTTGACATCTAGGTATGACATTTACACGGCTCCATCACACTGCACAGCTAGGTCACCTCCACGCCACCAGCCGGTGACTGGGCATTGAAGGAGTGACAGCAGACTGATGAGGGTATCTTTCTGCTCTCATTTCCTGTTAGCATGTTCGTGTCACATTGTCCGATTGCTCTCTAGTGCTCCCCCTTCATTTCCCCAATTCTTATGCTGGTTACATTTCATACATCAAATTTAGTTTTAGTAAAGACATAACTACATTCATGTGTTTTTATATCTGCATGGAGATCCATAAGGAATGGAAGTCTTCATGATGGAGAATGACATTTTCCTCACTTTTACTGACCTACACTGTACCTAACAATAACCAGAATTCTGCAGATCCTCAAATCATCTCTGAATTCATGCTGACACTGTCCTTCCTTCTGGAGGGTGGCTACTTTTGTTCCCCATGGCCCCTGTGTGTGTTGTAAAGTAGTCACCACTTCAACCTCACTCCTGCCATGGACTACAATCTCAATACAAATTATTAAACTAATCGTGAGATTGTAGTCCATCACAGGAGCGAGCTTGGAGCAGTGACTACTTTACAACACACACAGGGGCCATGGGGAACAAAAGTAGCCACCCTCCAGAAGGAAGGACAGTGTCAGCATGAATTCAGAGAGGATTTGAGGATCTACAGCCGAGTGATACACAAATAAGATACATTTTTGTTAAAGGAGAACTATGGGGTAAGTCACGGAAGGACATATACTAGCGTTCTTCCGTGACCCAAAGCTCAGTATATTGCGAGCTACAGCTCGCAGTATACTGAGAACGCTGCAGCCGGGACGGATCCCGACATTACTGTCTGTATCCACCCAGCTGTGAGAGTGACATTGGGCTCTGCCTATCTAGAGGCAAAGCCAGCTGTGCCCGCCCCCTCCCCATCCGATCCGCCAGTCAGAGCTGAAGAATCAGAGAGCAGAGGGGGGGAAACCCTGCGGAGAGCGGTGACTGACAGTGACGGCTCTCTGCAGGGAGATGATCGAGAAGTGAGCGAGCGACGGTATGCGTTCGCTCACTTCCCGATCTATTGAGCTGACGTCGGCTCGAACTACGAGGCTGCATGATTTCCACTCACCTCATAGTTCCCCTTTAATAGGTAGGGTACGTGCATGTATGTTTAAGTTTTACCTCCTAGGTTTAGTGTCACTTTAACGGAATACATTGAATTCAATAATTGTTTATTTTGTAGTGGTGAATAAAAGGAAGTAGAGAAAAACAGCTACAAATATTTACCCCCAAATAAAAGTAAAGCTGAAAGATGTAAAGCCCTTGTTTTCACCGAACTACACACCGGCGTAACAAAATCTGCGCAGATGGTTAATGTAATATTACAACAAGATCAGGAGGGCTTTACAGGAGCTGAAATTGCAGCAATGACGTGTTTTCATAAGTCTACAATCACAAAGTGCTGAGGCTGCACATTCCGACTTCAATGTCCTCCAGAGTGGGGGAAGTTACAGTGTTTTAAGGGGGACAGGAAAGGGGTTTATAAAGCTTAGTTACACTTCTCTTATATTTTAGCTGGACTTTTTCTATTTTATTTTACAAAACCAACTAAAAGGTTTGTGACTGGAAGGATCAAACAGCATCTCCTTGCCCTATGCTCCCTTCAGAACATCCTACCCTACGGTGTAAGGACCACTGACGTAATCATGTCTTACGCAGGTCCATTGACTTTGATGGACTTGCATTAGATGTGAGGACACCGAGGGACATTCCACAGTTGAAGCAGAGTGGAGAGAGGCGAGTGCTGACCACCACGGGAGACGGGGTTAGGGAAGTAAAACAGCTTTATTTGAGCCACCTAGACAAAAACATGAGTTGATTACCTGATAACTCTGTTTCCAGGAATCTTCCAGGACAGCCATCGAGATATAGGCTCCGCCTGCACCTATCCACCACAGTAGTGAATGCCTGATTTCCTCCGTGATGCGGACCACCTTGTCTAAGTCCTGAAGTCGACTTCCCCACACCCTCAATGCTTAACCCTTGCAGTACGTGGGTAGCCCCACTGCAAGGATATGTTGTTTTTTTTATTTGCCTGGAGTTCTTCTTTAAATACAGTTCTGCTTTAAATGATTTCCCTGCCACTCCAATATACACAGAAAACACCATAAAAGTGAATACTGTGTGGTCACAGCCAGTCATATCAGACTCTGCAGTTCAAACATTAATAACCCATGAAGGATTCCTTACTATTTGGGTGCAAAGTTAACATGCTTCAGATAACCTTTACCACGGTGCACACTTCATACGACAGACACGCAAACACACAGAACATGTGTAACCGAAATCAAGCTTCTCTTACTTCGACTTTGTGTGCTTCACATCTCAATATTTAGACACCTCACCTTCATCTTCTCGTTTTCGGTTTCTTTAGCCAGCTGATCCACAATGTCGATTAATCCACCTACTATTTTCTGAAAATCCCCTATTTCTGGAAGTACAACAAAAGAAGTTTTAGTTTCTCCCACTAACCATCCTACAATAGACGTACAATATGACATTGTGTCACACTGTGACCCCGTGCATACCACACGCACATTAAAGGAGAACTACGGGGTCAGTGTTTTTCCCCATAGTTCTCCTAAGGGTCAAGGGAGGATATATATAGTACTAGCGTCCTCCCGAGACCCAAAGCTCAGTATATCGCGAGCTACAGCTCCCTGTATACTGAGACCGCCGCAGCCGGGACGGATCCCGACATTACTGTCGAGATCCGCCCAGCTGCGTGAGTGACAGCGGGCTTTGCTTATCTAGAGGCAGAGCCAGCTGTACCCGCCCCTCCCCCGTCCGGCGGAACGCCAGTCAGCGCTGTAGGATCGCAGAGGGGAGGGGGGGAATCCCTGCAGGGAACCGTGAGTGACAGTCACAACAGAGAGCCGTGACAGGATCGAGAGGTGAGCGAACCCCGCTATGTGTTCCCTCACCTCCCGATCTACTGAGCCGACCTGTGACAGTCTCATTGTCACAGGTCGGCTAGAACTATGAGGTTGAGTGAAAATCCCTCATCTCATAGTTCTCCTTTAACATGCGCTATTTCATGTTAAGATGTGCTGTGTTAGGGCAGACCATTAGTTTCATGAGGGCAGCCAAGGTACCACAATACACACAAAAAATGGACACGCACCTTCCTTTTTAACTCACCAAAACACGCAGATAGTTTCCACCGTGATTTGTATGTGTGTTGGGGTGCCCTGGAAAGCATGGATCACAGTGGATCATGCATTACAGCAGTGCATATAACACACACGTTACCACAACACACAGATGTGAAGCCAGCATAAATGTAAAAATGATACGATTGTTAAGATCACACCCCTACAATGTACACCTCTATACATTTAAAGGGACACCAAACTTGCTTTGGTCATTTTCAGATTCAACATTTTTATTTAAATTCTACAAGTTTAGAACTCCTAGTTTAAATCTCTTAATTGTTTGCAGGAAATCTTCATTTACAAAAATACTATTTGCAAATCATGCTGGGCTTTCTAATAAGAAAGTCTAACACTACATTAGTGCCCATTCACACTAGCTCACCTGCTAAAACACTCTGTTTTACCGGACGGGCTGGTGTGTTCTGACGAGTCCAGTGGACGTGCAGTGTGGGGCGCTGTCTCAGTGCAACACACTGTTTACTTTGTTTCTTCATCTATTTGGAGTATACACATCTACACTGCGATGTGAATGGAGCACACCCAAAACAATTGTTTGCTATGTGCCCTAGCAGTAACTGGCCATATTGAGTTGCTGAAAAACACCAATCACCGCTATAGTGTGAACAGGTGCTCCCTAGCGGACCGCGTGAATCCATTCAGTAACAAAACAGATGACAAACGCACTTATCAATTTGTCACCAGCTTTACAGCAAGGTGCACATGGAATGGGCTTTAAACAGTAAAATAGCAAAAAGTTTTCCTGGCACACTCACAAGCTAGCATGTAAAAAAACTTGTCTCACACTAAGGTTAAAAACAGAGGTTTGGAGTTTTTTTTTTTACATGCTAGCTTGTGAATGTGCCAGGAAAACTGTTTGCTATTTTACTGTTTAAAGCCCATTCCGTGTGCACCTTACTGTAAAGCTGGTGACGAATTGGTGAGTTGAGTGTGTTTGTCATTTGTTTTGCTTGACTGATTTGGTGCAGTGATGCATGGGGGGTCTCAGCTGCCATTGGGATATGCGGGATCCCTTGTGCGTACCTGTGCCTTTAAGGGGGTTGGGCTTCCTTCTGACAGACCTGCACCCAATTTAATCTTCTGCCCCCATGTGCTCCAAGATGGAGGCTCTCATAGTTTAGAGTTAGGACCGCACTATAAGAGGTGCCTTGGCGCGGCTGTGCGGCTTTCACATCCTCTGCAGAAGACGTGTATCCCAACCTCTGTTTTTAACCTCAGTGTGAGACAAGTTTTTTACATGCTGGTTTGCGAGTGTGCCAGGAAAACTTTTTGCTATTTTCCATTCAGTAACAGACGTCTATCTGTGCCATAAGGGTGGGAAGGGGATGTCATCCTCTAAATGGGTCAGGATTCTGTCTGGCACGGCTGCTCTCTAATACTTCAGGTAAACATTATGGAAACATGGACTGATATGAAGAAAAATGCTAGCTGCCTGGCTATAATGCTGACCCACTGGTTTCAATACTTACTGAGGGCTTGTTCACATGATATCAGGTGCGGGAATCTGCAGACGCGGTGCTACTGATGCAGTGCGTTTTTGATGCGTTCAGGAAAAAGAAATATGTATCTATTTTTTTTTTTAAACTGGGAGTGGGGCTGTCAGTATGTGAGCTGCAGTGCAGTGCGTTTTTGACGCGTTTTGCGTTTCCGGTCCGTTTCCTGACCGTACAAAATGTGACATGCAGTATTTTTTCTGTCGTAACCTGAACGGACTGCGCACGTGAGAACTGTAGCCCATAAAACACATAGGGATACATTGGGATGCATTTTTAGTGCAGGAGCGTACGGATCAGGTCAGCACAGAAAACGGACGTCGTGTGAAAGCACCCTGAGTCACCGAGCTGAAACAAGAGCAGAAGTCAGAATTCCGTATCTAACAAACATGATAGCTCCTTATCTGCATACGTGTCCTGTATTTGTCACTCAAAAGCATCACAACTAAAAGGTCAGCCAGAGAGCCAGAAAACTGTCATTTATCGAGTTAGGAGTCAGCAATGTCAGCTTCCATTATTCTCCCAGGAAATTTTTCCTTTCCGTTGCTATAGACTGGCTTATAGTTCCACCTGCAGGCTGCAAGAGTAAAGATCACACGCAATTTCTAAATTAGCAGTAAACCATGTACAGTCTCATAGGTGGCCCCACAACTTAGCCAATCTCCCATGATGCATCTGGAAGGGATCCAGTTTTTGAATCAATTTACTTCTTTGATGTTTGGCTTTGTTATGGAGCTACCCATGGAACAGTCCATGATTTACTTTTGACCTTTAGGTGTGATGTAATATTTACCCGATTAAAAGGAAATGTTAGTAGTGAATATATACAGAGAATATACAGTATAAAAACCCAAAAAAGTTATAGATCTTTATAAAAGACAGATCTAGTGTCAGGTAATATCTGAGGTCTGGGAGCTGTAATTCCAGATGTTACCTGCTGATACAGTCCAATATGGAAGCTCAATATAGATTGATATATTTTACAAACAATCCATTATGTTTTTTTAAATTAAAGAAGAACTCTGGGCAAACAGAAAACATACGTGCGGGGGCAGCCCCGCAAAGGGTTAAGTGTTAGTTTTGTCTAGTGGACTCAAATAAAGCTGCATTATTCACCGAATCCTCAGTCCCACTGACTCCGTCCAGGCTGCTAGACCATTCCCCGCACCCTCTTCTCCCCTGGGCTCTGTCGGCCTGAGGTCCACTGATATCATCACACCTTCATGACCCGCATTACGCAGAAGGACGCTGAGGGATATTCCAGAGCCGGAGTGGAGGGGAAGAGAGGTGGGCTTGACTGCCACCAAGGATTAGGGAAGTAAATCTGCTTTATTTGAGCCAACTAGGCAAAAAGAGCACTTAAACCTCCCAGTGCAGGGACAGCCCCACTACAAGGGTAAGTTTTTTGTTTGATTGGAGTTCTTCTTTAACTACATGAAACCACTGCCAATGTGAATGAGGCCCTAAAGTACTCAAACTTTCAAATAGGGATGCACCGATATCGGTTTTACGATATATTATTTTCGGTACTCACCGATACCAAATACCAATAGTCCCATTAAGGAAGCCGGGTGGTGTGTAATGACTCATCGCCTGGATTCCTAATTAGCCAGGAGATGAGAAAGCATGGAGCCGGCTTTCTGGCCAATCAGGAAGCCAAGGGGGGGTGGGCAATTACCCGCCCCCACAACTTCCTAATTGGCCGGGAAGCCAGCTCCATACTCCCTGGTGATGCAGAGCATGGAGCCGGCTTCCCGATTGGCCAGGAAGCCGGCTAACGTAATGACTCGCCGCCCAGCTTCTTGATACCGGAAGTTCCGGTATCGGCACAGATGCCAATACTAGTATCGGTGCATCCCCACTTGTAAAGTGTTAAAAAAGGCCAACTTTTTGGGGGGCTTTATTTCTCTCCTGGGTCAGAGGAGAACATGAACTAATATACTCCTGTGACCCAAAGTCAGCATATAGCAGGCTACTGGCTGCTATATGCTGACAGTGCAGCAGTCAGGAAGGATCCTGAGAATATTGTTGGGATCCACCCAGCTGCTTGATTGACAGCTAGCTCTACCTCCCTAGCGAGCTAGCTGTGCCCACTGCTTCCCCTGTCTGTCCCTCCACAGTATGCCTGGAGGAACAGAGATGGAGGAGGATCGGTGACTGAGCATGTTACTAGTCTCTGCAGGGAGGAGGCTGAGTTGAATGATCAGCAGTTACATGATCGCTCAGCTCTCAGTATACAGCGTGGGACCAGTGACCTGTTGTTCAGTCTGCTGCATTGTGCTTTATTAGCATATCAGTTTTTGCAGCTCTATTCCGTATTCCGTGTCCAGGTACACAAGTGACTTACTGTCTACAAACTCCCTGCATTCCTCTTTCAGCACTGTGGTTTGCTGGGAGACATCTGGATCCAAGATGCGCAGCTTGTTGAGCTCATCAAAGTGCATCCCAGCTTCGGATAGAGAGTCTTTAGCCATTGCTATTGGAAACAATATAGGACAATAGGGAGAGTATTATGCTTCATGAATGACAATTAAAAAAAAAACAACACAAGATATATTAGTGAAGACAGACAGTGTGATTGGGATGTTTTACACAGCTTTTCACACTGCCTGATATTAAATACCATAAGATGACATCTTTAATGATATGTTCTATAACAATGCATGCTATCTGCAGCTTCCATGATTTTATTTCACATTGGCTGTATGCCTAGGAACGCAAACACTGAATGCTGGATTGAAAGCAGCTGTGGTCGCTACATCTACAGTACAAAGGGGAAACAAAGCATGGAAACGTATGACCTTGGAGGCAGCTGTGTTTTAAAGATCATTTCTAATTGTACTGGTAAGCTGAACCACACATAGACATAAACCTGTAAATTCATGACTTAGAATGCACACAACTCTTTAAAAGGAGAACTATGGGGGTTCTATCTTTTTTTTATGAATGCATTCCTTAGGCTAAATAAGTAAATAATGTAATTTACTGTAATTAGCTAAAATGCACAGGACGGCTGTAAAACCTTGTTTTAGGTGGTGGGCGGGGCTAAGCGCCGCAATGAGAAGACATCCCGACGGATCTGACGGGATCCTCCCCACCGATGATTGACAGTGATTCTTGAGAGCTGCTGCGCGTCCACGAATATATGGACATAAATCGAATACAAGGCTGTAACTTACAACAATCAGCAATGATGGACTTTACTCATTTTGTAAGTAAGGAAACGCTGACCTATTGGTAGTCTATAGATGCACTCAGTGCAGTACCAGAAGCCAAAAGGAAATAGCCAGCATTATCATGTATGAAGGGGCATGTGACAGTGCTGGACCAATTACTGCTGTCACAGAGGAGCCCATAGCCCCCTGAAAACTACAACTCCCGAAATATTCAGCACTATCGTGTATGAAGGGGCATGTGACAGTGCTGGACCAATTAGTGCTGTCACAGAGGAGCCCATAAAACTCTGAAATCGACACCACCTATGATTTGCTGCTGATGGAGCGTTAGGGAGCGAAAGGAAGGCAAATACAGTATATGTGCTTGGTCTGCATTAAAGTGAATCAGTTGCTCTGCCTTGCATTGCAAAGTTCAAGATTCAATTTTTGGCTGCTGTGATCTTAACCTTCACACTCCTCTAATGGCTTTAATAGTGACCATCTACTGCCCAACTCATCCCCGTTATGATCATAGGTTCTAGGGCTGCAACAACTAATCGACATAATCGATTATAATCGATTATTGAAAAAGTTGTCAACTTTTTCAATAATCGATTAATCGCCTTCCGATCAGTTGGCCCAAGGTTCCTGTAGGACACTGCAGCTATGTTGTGACCAGTAACCAAGGTGCAGACCAAACATTGACAAGCAATGTGCCCAGAGGTCCACACCTTGCAAAGTCAGTGGAAGAAAGCAGGCTGCATAAGGCCAGCCTAAGTTAGATCACTGAAAATGAATTCTGATTGGTTGCCATTTCTTAATGCATACTGCCTGAAGAGGTGCCCATTTAGAAGGTTTGTGAGATGGTGTCGGCAGAGTAAAACACAATCATGAAAACAAAACTATCTATAATAAAGTCGTGTCTTATCAAATGTTCTGTTGTCCATTATTTGTTCATTATTTAAGCTGTGTAAATGTAGCATTAGAAGAGTCTCTCAATAAAGATAAAATGACTGACAAAGAGCTTGTGGAAGCCGGATTGGGAAATATATTGAGGGTGGATTAGCTTCAGTAAAGCAAACTGCTTTCTACTGTATAAGCCAGTTACCTTTACGGCCTAAAATCCAACCAATTCCAAACAAAGGATGAAAGTCTTCCAATAACAGAATGATTTATAAAAGGCTTTGGCCATAACTGTAGAGCAGCTGAGCAATATTTGATGGTGCTTGGGGTGGGAGGTGTGTTTTAAACAAACCAAAATAAAGTATTTATATGACAACTAGGGACGCACCAATACCAGATTTTCAGTATTGTGTACAAGTACCGATATATTTTTGTTGGTACTCGCCGATACGGAAAACAGGTACCGGTGCTGTGTGCCCCGATTCTCAGGAAGTCAGCCTGGCTGCCTGACCAATCAGTGGCACGTCATGACCCCGCCTCCTGATTGGTCAGGAAGCCAGGCTGTCTAGCAACAAGTGAAGCAGGCTTCCTAGCCAATCAGGAATCCGGGAGGCGAGTCATGATGTGCCGCCCAGCTTCCTGATTGGTAGGCAGCCTGGCTTACTAACCAACAAGTGAAGCTGGCTTCCTAGCCAATCAGGAAGCCGGGCGGCACGTCATGATCCACCTTCCCGAGTGGCTAGGAAGCCGATTTCACTTATTCCTAGGCAGCCTGGCTTCCTGATTAATCAGGAAAACGGGAGGCAGGTCATGGCGTGCCGCCCGGCTTCCTGTTTGGTTAGAAAGCCAGGCTGTCTAACAAAAAGTGAAGCTGGCTTCCTAGATAATCAGGAAACCGGGAGGCGGGTTTTATTTATTTGATTGGAAAGGAAGCCACCTCCATGCTCCCTTAGCACTGCCAGTCAGAAGGAGGTGACCGGTATTGGAGGCAAGTATCAGAGCATTTGATCGAGTACGAGTACTATCTCAACTACTCGGTATGGGCACCGATACCAATACTAGTATCAGTATCGGTGCATCCCTAATTACAAGTATATTATAGTACAATTTTAAAAAATCAACAAACTCGTTAAAAAGGGTGACCAAAGATCACAAAAACAACAGCCGGGAAGAGAGCTGATGTTTTTCAAGGTGCCAGGACCCTGCAATCCTCACCCAGCTTCCAGGAACACTGGCATAGGCACTATTCATATAAGAGGAGAGCGGCAGAACTAACAATCAGCTCTGACTTCATCCAACACCCAAAATCAGAAGTATCACTTGTAATTATCAGGCCCCCTATACCCACCCTTAAGCTGGGTACACACCAACTCCTCAGAAATCAGCTGAAATTCGATCCGTGGCCGTTCCTATCCCCTCAACAGAAGTTGAACATTAGGTTGACTTTTGCCGAAGGGACATGCTGGAAAATCATTGGCGAAGCAGTGCTTGCAACCCATCAGCTACATGCACTCCAGTAGTCTGACACTAACCTGCGCCACTGTCAGAATAGAATGTACACGACAGGAGATCCATTCACCTAAGCTGTTAGCATGGATGGAGGAATCTGTCATATTTGAAAACAACATGACTGTGTGTCATCGGTTTCTCTAAGCTTCCATTTGTAGTTCAGGTTTACTTGGATACGGGATTACGTGTCTTTCATCTCTAATCAGCAAGTGAAAGAGTGATAACGCCGCAAGCAGAGAACACTAAATTGTGCAAACATTTGGCCCTCATACGTGGCAAACAATCCTTATCAATGTCACCAAACCATGTAGGCTTAGTTATGTGTGAACATTCATTTGTTCAGCTTCGATCTATTTTATTTTATATCTCATCTATGGTATTGTTCCACAACAGGGACAACAACAGGTTTAGGGAAAGGTTTGGTCAAAGCACAGGTTATATTGAGGTTCTAAGTGAAAATAAGTTATTATAATTCCTACAGGAAACAGACTTAGAAGGGAAATTTATCAAAACTACTCGCTTTCATGTTCAAATCTTAACTCAACAAACTAAAGCTAGAAGCTGATTGGTTGAAATTATTATTATACAGGATTTGTATAGAGCCAACGGTTTGCACAGCGCTTTACAATATAAGGAGGACATTACAGTCACAATACAATTCAAGACAAGATGGTAAGGAGGGCCCCGCTCCAGATTTTGTCTGCTCCAGTTTTGATAAATTCCCTTTGTAGTGTTTATAAACCCCAAATCTATTTTACACTATATCTGGCATCATGCCTCTCTGTATACAGCTTTCCTCAAAATGGACTCCACCCACACCTAATGAACCTGACTACCCAAATACATTCTACGAACTAAAAGGTTTAAGGTTAGTAGTACTTACCTGCCTCCTCCTCGCATGGCTTCCTCAGTGTCGGTGCTTTGTGTCCCCTGATATTTATTGACGCATATTGTCACAAGCATGACAACATTTCAGGGCTGTGCAGGGCCCCTTCATCAAGCTCAGTATGAAGTAATGCAGTATACAATCACCTTTATATGCAGATACACCACATGTGGAAAAACAAAACTGTGCAGAAATGTAAAACAAAAGTCCAACCCCCTAACATCATGATAAGTTTATTTACCTGACGTTATATATAATAATGATCAATAATATTGTCAATACACTGAATATGCAGAGGAGCCTCGTGAACGATCCTAAACATGTAACTAAGTACTCGACGATCAAAAACCCACACCACCATTAAAAAGAAAAGAACAACGTCCAGTGCACAAGATGAGGTGCATGATGTGATTTGCGGGCCAGTAACAAAGAAAGAAGCTGGCCGCAATGACATCTCATTTTCCACATGTGCCGTACCAAGTTACACCGCTGCTGCAAGAAAAAAACATTCCCCTGAGATCTTGCAAGATTTAAGGTGGGGGGGGGGGGTATTTTTGTTCTTTTTTTAATCACAATAGGATGATTTTATATTAGAATGCAGAGATGCATGCTTATGTGAATTTTTGTGAAAGGAAATAAAAGGTCCACTTTAAAGAACTCCAGGAAAACATTTTATTAACCCTTGCAGTGGAACCACCCCTGCACTGCAAGGGTTAAAAGCTTATTTGTGTCTATGTTCAAAAATAACAAAGTTATTCTCAACCAAAGCTCCGAGCCGGCCAGCCATAGCGCGCTCTCCAGCCTGGCTCTTCCTCCACTGCAGCACTGGAATCTTCCAGGCTCCAGGGACTGGTCTAAGAACAAGCCGGCTCAGAACATCGGGTGAGTGTAACTTTTTTCTTTAACCTAGACACAAACAAGCACATAACCATTGCAGTGGGGGCTACCCTTGCACTGCAGGGGTTAAAGGAGAATTATGACCTAAGGGCAAATAAAAATACCCCTTACCTTGATTGTAGTAGCATTCTTCCTTTTTTCTAAAGTCGCAGCACATCACAGAAAATTCTCAAAACCTGTAGTAAACGGCCATCTTCAGCCCTGCTCCGAGCTCCTTTCCTCTCCCTCGCCCACAGCTTTTTTTTTTTATTATCCCATTGCTGTGGCCACGCTCCCTATCATCATGCACAGCTGGCATTTGAGAGCGGGAGGCGGAGTCTGAAGTGAAAAGCAGCAGCAAGAGACTCAGCCTCCCTGCACATTCAATGCTCTTTCCCCTCTCTCATCAGCGATCCCCAGTAATTAGGATGTCAGCGTCACACAGGGGGAGAGAGAGGGGATAAAGAGCCATCCCTCACCAGAAATGGGCAAGTCCATATATGGTGAATGATGTCACTGGGTATCCCTGCAAACCGATCAGCAGGGATTCCCAGGGACATCATTCATCATATATGGACCTGCCCATATGTGGTAAATGATGAAGAGAGAGAGAGAGAGAGAGGGCTCCTTCTCCTATCTCTCTCTCCCTGCCCTGTGTGACGCTGACATCAATCAAATCACTGGGGTTAGCTGATGAGAGAGGGGAAAGAGTGCTTTCTCTTCAGCATTTACCACATATGGGCAAGTCCATATATGGTGAATGATGTCACTGAGGATCCCTGCAGACTGGCAAGCATCCGATCAGCAGGGACATCATTCACCATATATGGACTTGCCCATATGTGATAAATGATGGAGAGAGAGAGAGGGCTCCTTCCCCTCTCTCTCACTTTCTCTCTCCCTGCGTGACACTGACATACTAAAATCACTGGGGATCACTGAAGAGAGAGGGGAAAGAGTGCTTTCTCTTCAGCATTTACTACAAATGGGCAAGTCCATATATGGTGAATGATGTCACTGGGGATCCCTGCAGACTGGCAAGCATTCGATCAGCAGAGATCTCCAGTGACATCATTCACCATATAGGGACTTGCCCATATGTGATAAATTATGAAGAGAGAGCTTCTGGCCCGGGACAAGATCTTCTCAATGCACTGCACACGACACGTGAAGTAGGCGGGGCAGATGGAGAGGAGGAGGGAGGGAATCAATGGCTACACAGCAGCGTGTCTGGAAGGCTGGCACAGAGGACGGGGACGGGCAGGTAAGGAGAGAGCTGCGTGCACAGAGCTGCTGCGCATGTCCATATATTCGTGGCTCGAGAATCACTGTCAGTCACAGTGACGACGATCAGTGGGGAAGATCCAGACAGTATTGTCGGGATCTCTCCTCATTACGGCGCTTAGCCCCGCCCTCCATCTTAAAGAAGGGTTTACAGGCTTAGGGTGCATTTTGGCTAATAGGAGTAAATTACACAATTGACTTATTTAGCCTGAGGAATGCAATAATAAAGAAAAGATAGAACCCCATAGTTCTCCTTTAAGTGTTTGTTTGTGCCTAGGTTAAAGAAAAAAGTTATATTCGCCTAATAAAAAGTTTTCCTGGAGTTCTTCTTTAAGCTAATAGGTTTTTTTTGTTACTCTATTACAAAGTTTCTTACCTGGAGATTCTGCCAGTATAAGGACTTCCTGTCCCAGGCTGATAATGCTAAGCCACTAGCAGTAGTCTTTAGCCTGCTGTGTTATGCTCCTCCAGTTGGCCATCACACTTCCATTAGGTCTATCTGATATGCGGCCCAAGCAATTTTCCATACAAAAAAACAGTACAGAACTCCACCAAACTGCAGCTATGAAATGAGTTATCACTGCTTAGAGGCAGCATGCGTTTATGAAACCTGGTAGTAAGCTATGGCACATGGTCCATTATTTCAAGGGTGTTAGGCTCCCATATTCCACTCACTCCAATGTGTTCATTTGAGAGCTTAAAGTGACACTAAACTCAGGAGTTAAATCTTAAAAATACATTCAAGTACCTTTAACTAATGACAAAAATGGATCTTATTTGTGTATCACTCAGCTGTAGATCCTAAAATCATCTCTGAATTTGTGCCGACACCGTCCTTCCTTCTGGAGGATGGCTACGCTTGTTCCTCATGGTCCCTGTGTGTGTGTTGTAAAGTAGCCACTGCTCCAAGGTCACTGTGATGGACTACCCTCTCAGATTAATTTTACTAATTTGTATTGAGACTGTAGTCCATCACAGGAGTGAGTTTGGAGCGATGGCTACTTTACAACACACAGGGACCATGGGGAACAAGCGTAGCCCACCTCTAGAAGGAAGGACAGTGTCAGCACCAATTCAGAGATGATTTGAGGATCTACAGCTGAGTGATACACAAATAAGATATATTTTTGTTATTAGTTAAGGTACCTGAATGCATTTTTAAAAGGAGAACTATGGGGTCAGGGCTTTTCCCCATAGTTCTTAGGGTAACAGGAGGACACAAACTAGCGTCCTCCCATCACCCTAAGCTCAGTATACTGCGAGCTACAGCTCGCGCTATACTGAGATGCCGCAGCGGATCCCGATATCAATGTCTGGATGCGCCCAGTTGCGTGAGTGACAGCTGGCTCTGCCTATCTAGAGGCAGAGCCAGCTGTACCCGCCCCCTCCCCCGTCCGAACCGCCAGTCAGCACTGGCGATCGGAGCAGGGAAAGGGGAATCCAGCCCCTCCCCTGTCATGGCAGAGAGCCGTGACAGGATCGAGAGGTAATTCCAAAAGATGTCACCAGCACTCCAAAAGGATCGAGAGGTAAACGAACGCCGGTATATGTTCGCTCACCTCCCGATCTACTGAGCCGACCTGTGACAGTCTCATTGTCACAGGTCGGCTAGAACTATGAGGTGAGTGAAAAGCACTCACCTCATAGTTCTCCTTTAAACACCCGAGTGTAGTGTCACTTTAAAGGGTAGTTCCACTTGTGATGCTAAATTTAGAAACCCCCCACTATATGCCTGTGAAGGTTCTCATTCATCCAGGTCATGGTATATCTGTACAAAATAAGTCAAGGCAAGAATGACTTTTCTGTACAAAAAATTTCTGGGAATAAATATGGTGAATGTTGCTCCAATACACATAATCTGTTAGTCACAACCAGGTGTTGATTGTATTTGCATAATTGGAGTCTAGGAGGTGTTATTAACCTGCCCAGAGAGGTGTTAAAACAGCATTGTATGTGGCAGACATCCATTTCTCAATTGGATTACTGCGCCTGATAAAGGGGACCCTGTGCAGCCCCCCGAAACATTGCTTCAATGTGACAATATGCGTCAATAAAGGACGAACACTTGACCACATTGTTTGGTGTGCTGGTGACATCCTGTTTTATATATTGGGACATAGGACACTATATGCAACGTTTATTGCTTAGAAAAGATTGTGAAGAAACGGGACACGAGCGGGGGCATTGTGTATGTGTATCGCCACACAAGCCAGAACCCAGCCTTTAATGACACATTATACATGCTTTGTTTCATTTAAAGTTGACACATTGTCATATTTGGATTTTCACTGATCATATTCTTAGCACACTATTTAAGGAGAGCGCAGCACTTACATGTTTTAAAGAGGAACTTTACCCATATCTTTAAAAAAAACAACAAACACACCTTTAGAAATGTTTAGTAATGACAATCTACACACACATACTTCTAGATAATTGCCGGCTTTGTATTCTTTGCATTCCTTATTTCTCTTTTCTTCCCTAGTCTTCTTACAGTGGCCATGTTTACGCAGGGCAGATTACTAGCTCTCCTTCTACTTCATTGATTTCTGGCACATGTGACCAGGACATGTGACCATGCACATCATCTCAGGGGAGGAAAATGCCTTTCCCTGAGATCTCCTGAGATTACAGATGAGATTTCCCAGCAATGCTCTGCTGAAGGAAGCAGGAAGGCAATCCCAGTGTGCAGTGCTTTGGCAAACTGAAGTCATTTTGCCCTTTCAAAGCAGGAAGTGAATGCTCTGCAAGTGTAAGGATTTCATAATCACAGCATTTTACACCCGACATGTCTGCGTTGTTATTAATCATCATACATAGAGGGATGCATTGGTAGAATCTGATTTTGGAGTGTAGAGGTCTGCTGTAAGTTTCTAGTAGTGAAATGAGTGGTGTATCTAGGACCACTAGTGCTTGCTGCTGAATAATATTGGCGCATAGGTTTTTTTTACATAACCCAGCCTCAGAGATTTTTAACACTTTGTTAGAGTGGCCAGTTCTGAACAACCGATTATGGAGATCTGCCTGAACAGTACAGACAGGCATGGCAACCAATCAGCATCTCTCTTCAGTTTGCTCAGGTAAGATTTGACAATGAGACAGAGAGGCTGACTGGTTGCAGTGCAAATCTACTCCAGAATTTGTCTGCTCCAGTTTTGATCAATTCCCCCCAATGTATCCGGTGGTGGTGTTGTTGAGTTGGTAGTCTCTGTGTTTTGCAGCCTAGTTGCCATTACTTTACAATCTCTCTCTCTATATATTTATGTAGGTAGAGTATGCCACATTGTTATTTTCATCAGATAATGCATATTCAATGCCAAACCAACTATATTGCAGTAAAAAACCCTTTCCTTGATCTTCCACTGGAACAATAGCGTGCAACGCATGTAGTCTTAAATCTTAAAAAGAAATGGAGTCGGTCATGGGCAGAGTGCTGTGACATGTGAGCCATGGCAGCTTGCATCAACCCTGGTGGAGAATCCCATAGTGCAGATG